CTACTACTACTACTACTACTCCGCCTCCTCCTCCTCCTGCTTTCTTTCTTCTCATGAATAACTCCTCCCTGTCGCAACCCGGAGCCAGTCTGAAGGGCGGGCCGCGCCTGGGACATCCTTACCATGGATAAGCCCGAAGGTGAAAAACTTGCCACAGCTTCACATATGGAAGGCGGATCGCTTTCAATGTTTGGATCTCGCGTTAGCGCCACGCACGTTCGCCTCAAATGTGTTTGCAAGAAATTCAAGGATTGAAGACAAACCGCTTTCAAAATGTGGCCCTCGCCTTGGCGCCGCGCATTTTTTTAATTCTCCTGGCGAGGGACCCAGCCATGTGCAGTTGTGAAGAACGCAGTTGTGGGTATCGACCTCGGTGAACCTCTCTGGGGTCACGACGCGTGTGACGGGTGTGCCAACATTGACACTGTCGACACGGGTACGCCATGCGGACGCTGCCACCGGAGCAGACGGTGAAGCCCCGTGCGAGGCCACGGAGCGTGCGAGGGGTGCGCCCGAATGCAGGGTGGAACCGCGCGCGGGCGTTGCCACTACTAGGGCCTTCGATGGAGCTCCCTACGGGGCCGCGAAACGTGTGAAATGTGTGCCGAAATTGGGGTGGAACCGCATGCGAACGCAGCCACTGGGGCCTTCGGTGGAACTCCCCGTGGGGCCACGAAACGTGCGAGGGGTGTGCCGAAATAGAGGTGGAACCGCATGCGATCGCAGCCACTGGGGCCTTCTGTGGAGCTCCCTACGGGGCCACGTAACGTGGGAGGGGTGTACCGACATGGAGGTGAAACCGCATGCGAACGCAGCCACTGGTGCCTTCGGCGGAGCCCCGTGTGGGGCCAAGAAACGGAAGGGTGCACCGAAGTGGGGGTGGAACCGCATGCGAACGCAGCCAGTGTGGCCTTCGGCGGAGCTCCCTACGGGGTCACGAAACGCGTGGGGGGGGTGCCGAAATGGGGAGGGGAACCGCACGCGGGCGCTGCCGTTGGGGTCTTCGGTGGAGCTCCCTATGGGCCCTATGATTCGCGATGTTGGAATCCCTGGAGTGGCGTTCTGGCACGATTCCGGATCGTCAAGACGCGACACTCAGGTTCACTCGCGGCGTTGACGTCACGAGAATGATGTCATGGCGCGCGTCAAGATTTGCACGCGGAAGTCTTTCAACGGCGCATTCCCCTCCGTGGAAATGAAGCCTTGTAAAAACAAATGATTAGGGAGCTCGGGCGGAGGGGTCTCTCAACATCGTTGATGAGTCTTGACTTCACATTGGTCCCCCCCCTCCTCCTCCCCCTCCACAATTACTCAATATGAATGTACTCTCCCTCTTCCCCTGATGGCGTCCGGGTGATAGCCGCGCACCCTCCGCGCACTGTTTTTTTACACACAGGATGCCCGGAAAATCCCGGGAAACGACTCTCGCTGAGGCGCCGGCGTCATTTTTTCCCAAAATGCTGCTCTCGCGCCGGCGTCATTTTTTCCCAAAATGCTGCTCTCGTTGAGGCGCCGGCCTCATTTCTGCTCCCGAATCCTTCCCCTGATGGCGTCCGGGTGATAGCCGCGCACCCTCCGCGTACTGTTTTTTACACAGGATGCCCGGAAAATCCCGGGAAACGACTCTCGCTGAGGCGCCGGCGTCATTTTTTCCCAAAATGCTGCTCTCGTTGAGGCGCCGGCCTCATTTCTGCTCCCGAATCGTTCCGAATCGTGCTCCCGCTGCAGCGTGGGCCTCATTTTCGGATCGGTGTTTGGCCTCCGTCGTTCAGGATGGCGTTCTCGCCCCAGCGCGGGCCTCTTTCTCGCGCGCCCATCCGCCCGCCACCACCGCGCCGCACCGCCACCACCACCACCACCACCACCACAACCACCACCAGCACCAGCACCAGTACCAACACCACCACCACCAGCACCACCACCACCACCAGCACACCACCACCACCATCACCACCACCACCACCACCACCACCACCACCACCACCACCAGCACAGCACCAGTACCAAACCCACCACCACCAGCACCACCACACACACACACCACCACCACCACACCACCACCACCACCACCACCACCACTCCACCACCACCACCACCACCACCACCACCACCACCACGACAACCACGCACACACGCACGCACGCACGCACGTGCACCACCACCCACTACGCACGCGCGCGCGGAGCCACAGGTCCGCTACGACACGCGTCCGCGGATAGAGAAAATCAGCGCCATGGTAAGGGATGGGAGGGAGGGGTAGGACGTCAGATATGACGCGAGCGCACCTAGCTTGTCCTCCTCCCCTCCCCCCATCCCCTCCTCCTCCTCTCCTCCTCCTCCTCTCCTCCTCCTCCTCCTCCCTCCTCCCTCCTCTCCCCCTCCTCTCCTCCTCATCCGCCTCCTCGTCCTCATCCCCCCCCCTCATCCCTCCTCCCTCCTCCTCCTCCTCCTCCAACTCCCTCCCTCCTCCTCTCCTCCTCCTCCTCCTCCTCCTCCTCCTCCTCCTCCTCCTCCTCCTGCACTCCTCCCCTCGCCCCCCCCCTCCTCCTCTCCTCCTCCTCCCTCCCGCCCTCCCCCCCCCCGTCGCCCCCCCCATCCCCCCCCCCTCCTCCCCATGATCCTCACCCTCTTCCTCTTCGCCCTCCTCCTCATCCCCCCCCCTCCTCCCTCTCCCCCCCTCCTCCTCCTCCCTCCTCCCCCCCCCCGTCCTTCCCCCCCCTCCCTCATCCCCCCCTCCCCCTCATCATCATCACCCTCTTCCTCTTCGCCCTCCCCCCCCCTCCTCCCCCTCGAGCCTGGGGGCACAGAAACAGCCTCGCCAGATGCCCCCTCGCAGCAGAAGGGTAGGGCCCCTTGACGCATCGAGCCTGGGGGCACAGAAACAGCCTCGCCAGATGCCCCCTCGCAGCAGAAGGGTAGGGCCCCTTGACGCATCGAGCCTACGACGCGTGTTTGGCCTTGCGTTGGGCCGAAGGGCCAGGTCTGCAGACACCCGGGAACGGGCGCCAAGGGGCGCAACCACTCTGCGCGCTTGAACCGCGCGCTTTCACCGCCCTCCTTGCTGCACTCCTATGACGCCCCCCTTGAGGCACCCCCTTGACGCCCCCCCATGGATGCACCCCCCTTGACGCCCTTTCTTCGGTTGTCCTGCAAAGGAGGGCGCTCTCAGGCCCCAGCCCTACTCAATTTGGGCCCTTAGGCAATGGTCCCACGAGCAAGAGCGCGCAGCCGCGTTCTGCGCCCCCCCCCCGCCCCCGGCGCTCGCCTGACCCCATCCGCCCCTTCCCCTTCGGAAGCCTCGCCGAACAGACGGGCGCCCAGAGCCCCTGGACACGCGCAGGCGCAGCCCCAGGCATCCGACGGTGTGATCTTGGTCCCCCCGCGGCCCCAGAGCCCCCGACCCCTTCCCCAGGGGTAGTTTTTCGCCCCAGGTCCATTTTTGACGGGCCGGGGCCCGCCAACGGCCCCCAGGAGGCTGACCCTGAGATCCGACGTCGCGAGCGGAAGCTGGAGCGTTCGAAAAAAAAAACGACCACATCTCTAACCCGATCTTTCTGCTGCACTTTTCAAGCCAGGTCGATCTGTGAGAGTCCAGAGGCCCGAAACCGCGCGAAAACGCCCGTTTCGAAAGCAATGCAACGCCAGAATCTCAGGGGATATCGAAAAAGCAACTCGTCGGCGATCTTGGTACGCTGCAGCCTGCAACCGCCGGCGGCCCCCCGCGGCCGTCGTCCTGGGCCCCGACAGCGTTCGAGATGTCGGACCCGAGGGGGCTCCATTTCGAGATGGGACCCCCATCCGACAACAAATACACACCCAGAGTTCCACCCCAAGGAATCTGGGAGTCGCACAAGTAGGGCTTCCGGTCGTCAGCTCAGGAGATAGCGGCCCCCAGAGGCCAGAATCGAAGCAAAAACGCGGGGCCTCAAAAATCGTCTGGTCGGAGATCTGAGCCCGCTGCAGCCGGTGGCGGCCCCCTCCCCGCGGCCGGGTCCCGCGACCGAGTGCCTGGCGCACGGCTCGGCCGCAACCATGTGCCGGATTTTGTTCGCCGCAAACAGTCTCCGCCTCCTCCTCCTCCTCCTCCTCCTCCTCCTCCTCCTCCTCCTCCTGAGACAATCAGCAGCATCATCATCAGAGGCGGATTTTGTTCGCCGCAGCATAGCATCTGCCCCAGCTCCGATTCGATATTGAATCCGATTCCCGTCGTGGGGGCTATAGCACTTCCCATCCACGCCGACCGCAGTGGGCTGGAAGCGCATGCCCGCAAAAGCCCCCGGCTCGGGCGGGGTGAGACGTGGAGGGAGAGCCCGAGGAAGGAGGGAGAAACAGACGAGCAAGAATGCACCCCAGGCGATGCGAGAAGGAGAGGCGGAAATTTCCGCCTCGGAAAAGTAATTAGGGCGGCTATGTCCGCAAAAATACGTCGGATACATAGACGGCAAGTATAAGTGGAAATCGGCACCAAGGGAGCCCGAAAATCAGGACGGGCATTCCTGCCCTGCTGGCGAAATCGCCACAAGGGTACTGCATTGGATTGGTTGGATCCCTCAATCTCTCTGCCGCCTCAAGCGGTGTGCGTTCAGAGCAGAAGCACAGCAAAGCCACATGAAGGCGTGGCATTGACAGTGTAGCTCCACACACGTGTCAAATTCTCTGGCGAGCCAGAGCATAGCAAAGCCCCAAGACAGCCAGGCACTCACAGTGTAGCTCAGCATCAACACAGTGGCCGGGGAGCCCGCTGTGTTGATGCTGAGCGGCAAAATCCGAGGTCACCTCGTCGGAGATCTAGGCCCGCTGCAGCCCGGAGAAGGGCGAGCTGAGACACTGGAAACTCAAAGTCGGCTCGAAGTCGGTCCTCAGACCTCTCCCAGGGTCCAAACGCACCAGCTTTCCGAGCTGCGTCAACCCTTGGCGACGAGGGCCCCCCCCCGGCCAACTACTGGCGTCTCAAACGGCCCTCCGCTGAGCAGCCGCCGCCGCCCCCACCCCCCCGCGGCCGAGTCCTGCGCCCGGCAGGGCGGGCGGCACCGCCGCACGGGACGACGAGCTGCCGCCTCGCGGGCCCATGGCGGGGGCACGGCCGCGAGCTGAGCCCCGCAGAATCGGCGACTCCGAAGGGTGTGGTTTGCAAAGGGTGTGGTCCGCAACCCGCGCCTGGGGGGGGCATGCGAGGACCTCGACGGAGATCTCTGCCTCGCCCGACGAGGGTTCGCCAAACCTTTGGCGCCACATGGGCACCACCCAGGCCCCAACGGCGCCGATCACAAAACACACCCAAGCGTAACGACACCCATTGTAGTCGCCGACCAAGGGCCTCGGTTCCCCGACATGCTCGCGCCGGTTTAAAATTACAGCGGGCAGTGTTTGCCCTTTTCGGCTTCTGGGGATCGTCGCGAGGCCTTGGGACTTCGCGGATTTCTTGGATCGAAGCTGGACCTTCCTCCCTGGAGCGCGCAGCCCCAGACATGCTCGCGTCGTTTAAAAAACACGGCGAACAGTTTTTGTCCCTATGAGGATCATCGCCAGGCCCTGGGACTGCGCGGACTTCTTGGATCGGCGCTGGACCCCTCCCCAGCGCGCGCAGCGCGCCAGGGGCAGCGTCGGAGGCGCCGCCAGGGGGACTCAGCACCGATCCAGGAGGTCCACTTGCGGATCACAGGCATGCTCGCGTCATTCAAAAACTTCGACGGACATGTTTTGGCCTCTTTCGTCCTATGGGGGCCATCGCCGAGCCCTGGGACCTTGAAAGAACGACTCGGGATGAAAAACCGGGAGAGGGATGGAAAAATCAAAACATCGCATTTGGGGGTTGGGCCCTTGTGGCGCGCGGTAGGGCTTCCTGCCGCCTTCCCCCGTTTCTCTGGGGGGCGGGAGTGTTGGGGGAAGGATGAGGCGAGAGGAGCTCGAGAATCGAGGTTTCCCGACATTGCCGTCGGTCCTCGGCGGTTGTCCAGCCTCTGGATACCTGCCAGCAGCTGCGCCTCGCCGAGAGCGCTCCGGGAGTGCCCTAATCGTCCCGAACGGCCGCTGGAGACCCGAGCTATGACCCGAAAGCCAGGCGACGAGGATCGGGGTGGAGGTGGAGGTGGGGGTGGGGGTGGGGGTGGGAGCCAAGCTAACCCAAGCCGCAAGCCATATCGTTCACTGCCACCCGCCATCCCACTACGTAAGTAGTACCCGACTCTCAGCACAGGCAGGGGCCGCCATCGACAACCATCGGGAACCAATGTAGACGCCAGCCAGGTGCACGATGCCCGCGAGGTGCGCCGCACGTGCCAGATGCACCACGCGCACCAAGTGCGCCACATTAAGCAATAGGTCGACCGACCCATCATCCCTGTCGAAAACAAATGCGAAGAGACGGCGGGTTTGCGAGCATTCTGTCATGTGTGTGGGCGTGTGCCCGCAGACACTTTACGCTCGTTTTTGACGGGGATAGTTGGCCTGCACATGGCAGGCACTGTGCCGCACCCCCACCGTCCCTGGCACGTGGACCTGCACACAGCAGGCAATATGCCAGCCCCGCCCGCCGCCCCTGCCAAAAACGCATGCAAAGTGATCGCGGGGCGCCCGGGCATGATCCAGACGTTGGTGCAGAGTGCACTTTGTGCTATTGTGCAAGGGATGCAGGAAGGGTGCTGGCATTGCACACAGCAGGCAATATGCTGGCACCCCTGCCACCCCTGTCAAAAACCAAGGCAAAATGATCTCGGGTCAGGGATGGTGGGAGAGTATCACGGTCCTGGGTTTGTCGCCGGTCGGGTGTGGGAGGCGGTGTATATCAGTAAGGAACAGTGCTAGAGAGAGGGGAGGTACGGGTAGGGAGGGGAGGAGAGAAGGAGAGAGGGAGGGAGGAGGGGGGATGAGGAGGCGGAGGAGGAAAGAGGAGAGAGGGGAGATGAGAAGCTGGGTGCGCTCGCGCCGCATGTGATATCCTAAACCTCCCACCCATCATTTCTCGTTGCGCTGATTTGTCTCGCCCACCGACTCGTGTCATAGCGGACCTGGAACTTCAAAGAGGACCACATTGTGTTAATTTTGCAAAATCGGAAACAAAAGGAGCTGCGCGCATAGGAGCATGACGTGGCGGATGAGCAGGAGGTTCAAAAGGAGGAGGAGAAGGAGGAGGAGGAGGAGGAGGAGGAGTTAAGGCGGACGAAGAGCAGCAGCAGGAACAGGAGTCGGAGAAGCGGAAGGAGAAGGAGGACCAGGGGAAACCGGAGGAGGGGAAAAGAGGGGGACGACAACGACGAGGAAGGACTCGGACCCAAGAAAGTGGCCCGCGCGGGGGCGAGAGCGCCGTTCTGAACGACAGGAGCAAAGCGCCGATCCTGAAATGGGGCCAAAGCAGCGGACGAACCGTTATGAGACACCGCAAACGTTCCGATAGAAAACCTTCGAAGAGACCCATAATGAAATCCTGTGTAAAGGACGGTACGCGGAACGAGCGGGGCAACTGCAGGACAGGGTCAGGTGAGAAGAGAGGATAGTATTCGTAGTGATCAATTGGACATGGGAGAGGGGAGAGAGGACAGGCTAGGTGCGCTCGCGCCACGCGTCATATCTGACATCCTAAGCCTCCCACCCATCCCTTCCCGTTGCGCTCGCTGGTTTCTCTCCTTTCGCCGACTCGTGTCAGAGCGGATCTGGAACTCCAAAGAAGACCACATCGTGCTCATGTTGCGCAGTCGGAAACAAAAGGGAAATGCGCGCATGCGAGGAGGAGAGGGCGCATCAGCAGGAGGATCAGCAGGGCGACACAGAGGAGGATGAGAAAGGACGAGGACGAGGACGAACAGCAGCAGCAGGAGCTGGAGTTGAAGGAGCGGGAGGAGCAGGAGGACCAGGGCCAGGCGTCCAAGGGGAAATGAGGGGGGGGCACGGCAATAATGGCTTGTGTAAGTGTAAGTTGGCTTGTGTAAGTTATTGTGTTCTGCCGATGCGCCTAGCGGCCTTTTCCTGTCCTGACCTGTCCTGTCCACAGCAACAATGAAGGGCTCCGATCTAGAAAAATGGCCCGCGCTTGGGCGAGAGCGCCAAGTCTGAACGACGGGAGCAAAAAGTCTCAAATCATAAGATGGGGTCACAGCTGCAGCGAGAGCACCATTTGAAACACCGAAAGCAATAGGATTGCAAAACAAACTACAAAACCAAAAAAAAACAAAAAGCGGAGAGGGCAGAACATCTTTTGGACGGAGTCTGGGAAAAGCGGATAGTAGCGCTCATAATGCTCGACAGTAGAGAGGCAAACTAAGAACGCTCGCGCCATATCTGGCATCCCTTCCCATGGCGCTGTTTTTCTCTATCAGCCGACATGTCTCATAGCGGACCTGAAATTCCAAAAAGGACCCCACCGCGTTGTGCGCTTACACTGGGGCAAGAGGTGGGGGATGAGCAGGAGGATCAGCAGGAGGAAAAGGAGGAGGAGGAGGAGGAGGAGGAGGAGGAGGAGGAGGAGAGAGGAGGACAAGGACGAACAGCAGCAGCAGGAGCGGAAGTCGGAGAAGCGGGAGGAGCAGGAGGACCAGGGGAACGAGGGGGGAAAGGAGCGGGGCGACAACGATAAGGAATGACTCGGACCTAGGAGAGTGACCCGCGCTTGGGCGAGAGTATCAATGTCAACGACGGGAGCAAAGCGCCCATCCGAAAATAAAACCCACGCTGAAGCGGCAGCACCATGTTGAAGGACCGACAGACCATATTGAAGGACCACTAGGCAGCACCATTGCATGAAACAAGAACATCTACTCTTGAATACGCGGAAAGGGCTGAGCAACTTCCGCACAGAGTCAAGGAAGAAGGGAGCGTAGCACCCAGATTGACCGCAACGACGAGGAAGGCACCGTATCCAGAATTGTGACCCGCGCCAGGGCGAGAGTGCCATTCTGAACGAGGGGAAGAAAATACCAATCCTGAAACGTGGCCAACTTCAAGAGGAGAGCACAAGTTCACAAGACCGGAGGCGCCCCGAACGCCAAAAAAATAGCATGTTGAAGCCAGATGCCTCAATGACATTATGCTGGAGGGGTTGGTCAACGAGAGATGCGAATAAGATCCAGATTGAGTAGCTCATTGTGAATAGTTCTGGAATGGAGGGAGGAAGGAGTAGACTGGCAAGCTAGCTGCGCACGCGCCACACCTGACACTTTTCCCTCCAATCGATCCCCCTATTATTACATTGATGCCGAAATGGCACGTGCACAACTTGGCCCTTCGTTGGCTGTGCTATTGGGCAGGGGGACTTTGTTCTCGGGAAGAGGAGGAGGAGGAGGAGGGGGAGGAGGAGGAGGAGGAGGAGGAGGAGAAAATGGAGAAGGAGAGAAAGGAGAAGGAGGAGGACCAGTGTAAACCCAATCTCCCTCTTCACAGGCCCCTACAAGGGTTCATTTCCACTGGGCGACCTGCCTCGTTGGGACACAAGCGTTTTGAAGACCCTGAAGCGTGCCAATGCACCATTCTCGGGACCCCAACGTCACGAACAAACATGATTGTTGCGTATTCACAATCTTGAACCGCGCCATAACACCATGCCCGAACTTCAACACCGCGAATCAACGTGACCGCTGCGCCCTCACAATCCTGAATCCTTCCAAAACACAAGTTCTGGTAGGTTGACCATGGGAATCCGTGAAACTCTTCCAATTATTTTCAACCAATGTGCGCGGCGCTGCGACGGTAGTCACATTTTGAAAACGCAATCCGCGAAACTCTTGCAATTTCTTGAAACGAATATGGGTGGCCCTGAGGCGAGAGCCACATTTTGAAAACCACCCGTCCTCAATCCGCGAAACTGTTGCCAATTTCCAAAAAGTTCAGGGATCATGAGTGGTGGGGAAATCTAAGCGAAACGACCAGCCCGCCCTTTCGACTGGTCTCGGAGCGCGACGGGGAAGAGCTACCTGTAAGGAAAAGAAGGAAGGAGGAGCTCTTCGGTACTCAACTCCATGGGTGTCCATCGGCGTAGCTGTGGGCACCAATCAGCTCATGTGTGTGCAGGCCTATGGTCACGCGAGTCTGGACAGCATGGGGCGGAGGGCCTCCCGCCGATTCCACATTGTCCAGGAATGCCTTGGCGCCTGGCGTCGGGCGACCCCCGCCCTGGCTGCATGCCAAGGCCAGCTGGCACAGCCGAGGCAGGCCGCTCCCGGAGCGCGCCCCAGGGGCGACGGCGCGCACCGACGCCCGGCCCCGACACGCGGGAGGGCGGGGAGCCGGGGCCCCCGCCGCTCGGCGCGGGCTGCCGCCAGGGGGCCAGGCTGCGACCTGGCGAACCTCCGCCCGCGCGGAGAAGCGGGTCGGGCGAAAGGGGGGGATAGCAAAGGGGGGGGGGGAGAATCATCTCACGCAGCTGATGCTCCCGGCGCCTCCCGGCGCCGGAGGCGGCCGTGTATCGAGGAATGGGCCCCTCGGTGAGGCCGAAACCAGCTGCATGCAGCAAGTTTCGTAACCCCCCCTTTCCCAATCCCCCCCTTTCGTCTGGCCCGAGAGAAGCGCAGATCCATGGCGGGGACGAAAATCGCCGCGGCGCCCGAGGGGTGCACGTCCGCAGGGGGCTCCCCCGGTGCTTCGACGATCGCATGGTGCTCTGTCGGGTTGGCGGAGGGAGGCAGGCCGGAATAGCGCCCCCCCCCTTCCAGGCGCAGGTAGATCCGAAATAACCATCCTTTCCCGACGGCTAGGATGCTCCACGGAGCCAGCGGAGGCGGTGGCGGCGGGGGCGGTTCCCGCGAGGAGGCTGGCCGACTCGCGGTCGAGCCCTCTCCGGCGAGCGCAGACCCTTTGGACCCCCACCCACTGGCCCTCCCCGGGAGTGAGCCACGCAGACCCACTGGCCCCCCACTTCTGGCCCACACGGCGGCAGGAAGAGGCGCCGGGCAGCGGCAGGCCAGGCGCGCCCGCCGGCACTTCCCCACGCGGGTCGGGCAGGGGGGGGCGCGGCAGGTTTCGCCACCCTGCGGCGCCCACACGTCCGTGTCCGCGTGGGGAACACCCTCTCCCAGAGGAGTCGGGCGGGCTCCGCGCCCGAGGGGGCTCGGCAGGGCCTGCGCGTGCCGGGCGCGCCGAGAGCTCCCCGGCAAGGGCGAGCCATCCCAGTCGGTCCGCTCCACAGCCCTCGCCGGCGGGCCCTTTGCGCTCCGAGCCGCCCCGTCGACGGCGGAGGGCCTTCGCTGGGGCGCGGCGGCGACGGCGGCAAAAGCACCCCGCGGAGAGCCCTCTCCTGGCGCGGGCCGGCAGTCCTCGGCGGCCGAGGCCCGTCGGCAGGAGGGTCGGGCGGCCTGCCAGCCCGCGGCAAGTTCTCGGGGCGGGAGCCTCTGCAGCCGCGGGCTCCGGCGCCAGTCGCCGCGCAGAGGCAGACGTGCGCCGCCGCGCTGGCCGGAGGCGCGCGGTCCTTCCGCCGGCAAGGGAACGAACGCCTTCCGGGGGGCGCTCTCCAAGCGCCGTCGGAAGGTCGGGGCGGCTGCAGTTCACGACCACGCCGACGCGGAACGGCTGGCCCGGGGAGCGGGCAGTTGGAGGGCCCCTGTCGCACTTCTCCAAGCGTGCCCACTCCCCCCCATATGACCAGCAGAAGGCGGTTACCTCGACGGCGGCGCAGCGGGCCCGACCCCCTCCACCACCTCCTGGAAGAAGTCGCTCGAGGGGGGGGGGCGGGCCGGCGTCGGGGCCTCGCCAGCCCAAGTCGCGGAAAGGGAGAAGTCCTTCCGCGGAGGTGCCCCGCAAGCGGCGCCCCCTGACTTGCCGGAGGACCAGGAGACCGAGCCAGGCCCCCAGGGGGTCGACGCGAACAAGGATCAGGGCCAGCAGGGGGACGATGAGAAAGGCGAAGAGGAATTGGAGCGGAGCCCCCTACGGTTCCCAGAGGGAGGCCTCCATTCGGCCAGCAAGGGGTTGGCCCAGAAGTCGAAAGCCTTCATCCAGGACACGTCCCCACCGGCCTTCCATCGGGGCGCCCTCACCCGACCGGTCAGCCCCCTCCTCTTCGTCCCCGAAGTCCGCCTCCTCCCCTTCGCCTTCCAAGGACTCGGAATGGTCGTCGGGGCCAGGTGGAGGGGCCTATGAGCTCCTCAGGACTTTCCCCTGGGGAGCCGGCCTGCGAGGTGAGGAGCGCTTGCGGCGAGTCTGCCTCGGCCGGCGCGTCGCCTTCCTCGCGGGTAGCCGATACCACGGCGCGAGCGAAGGTGGAAGGCGGGGGGGGGGGGGGCTCGTCAACGGGGACCCTCCATGGCCACCCTGCGACGGCCCCCGCAACTCTTCCAGCGGCCGTGCTGGGCCGCAGACCGGGCGGTTCCCCGTGGCTGGGGGCGGTCTCCGAACCCGCACGCCATGCCCCTTCTGACAGGAAAGGCAGCAGCACGGGCGCCGGGGGGCCCATGGGCTCTTCGGGTCGGGCGAAAGGGGGGGATAGCAAAGGGGGGGGTTGAGAATCAGCTCACGCAGCTGATGCTCCCGGCGCCTCCCGGCGCCGGAGGCGGCCATGTATCGAGGAATGGGCCCCTCGGTGAGGCCGAAACCAGCTGCATGCAGCAAATTTCGTAACCCCCCCTTTCCCAATCCCCCCCTTTCCCCCGGCCCGAGCTCTGGGGGCGGGGCCCTTTCGCAGAAAGCGTGTAGCCCTCGCTCGAGCCCAAACGGCTTCGGCGAGGAGGAAGGGGGGAAGAAAGGAGGAGCGGGCAACCGAACGGGAGAACCCAAAGTTACTGGCCAGGCCCTAACCGAACCGGACTGCGCGCGGCGCCAAGGCGAAAGCCACATTTTGAAAAGCAGCACCCCTCAATCCGCGAAACGTTTGCACATGTTTGAAACGAATGTCCGCGGCGCCAAGGCGAGAGCCGCATTTTGAAAACGACCTGCCCTCCTTCCGTGAAACCTTTGGAAATATTTACGACGAACGTGCGCGGCGCATTTTGAAAATCATCCGCCCTCAATCCGCAAAACTCTTGCAGATGACTAAAGCCAATGTGCATGGCGCTAAGGCAAAAGCTATATTTCGAAAACGGCCCGCCCTCAATCCGTGAAACTCTTACGGATGTTCAAAAGGAATGTGAGCGACGCTAGGGCGAGAGCCACATTTTGGAAGCGACCCGCTTTCCATATTTGACACTGTTGACGCTTTCTAAACTTCAGGGTTATACATGGAAAAGAAATCTCAGGCGAAACGCCCGGCCAGCCCTTCCGACCGATCTCGGGGTGCGACAGGGAGGAGTTATACACAAGGAAAAGGAATGGAGGACAGAGGTTCTCCTCTTTGTGAAGGAGCAGACGAGGCGTGATGGCCACAGCAGTCAGACAGCCCACATCATCAGCAGGCTAAACCTGGCGAAAACTCACCGTGGGTACCGCTCATCGTGCCTGCTCGGTATGAGACCTGGTGGTAGGCCTATACGCGCAAAGCACGACTCGGCATGAAGTCAGGTTACACGTCGGGCAAGACCTCAACGATGCTCTAATACACCCTCCCGTGCAAAATCAATTCCCCAGAAATCTCCACAGGCATTTCCCCTCACTACGGGAAGCAGTCCCTTGAAACACAAGTCCGAACGCCCCGCTTTGAAACGGAACTGCACTGACGAGCAACGAAGACAGGAAGTGGGAGAAGAAAAGAGAAAGGAGGAGGAGCAGGAGGCGACGACGGCGGCGGCGGCGAGGACGACGACGACGACGACGACTGCGACGACGACAACGACGACGACGACGACGACGACGACGACGACGATTGGTGGGCCAGCCTGCGACCGCGAGGACTGGCTGCCGTCTGGGTGATCGGGACCTTCGCTCTTGGGCGGCAAGGGGGAGGAGGGGAGGTGACGGCACATAACCCCTCGCGTCGTCAGAAACACGTCGTTTTCCAGCGGCACCTCGGGCCCGAGCAGCTGTATAAATCAGTGCTGGGGCGCAGGCGAAGTGAATTACGACGCAAGGCGACAAAAAAAAGGACAGTCGTCGTCGTCGTCGTCGTCGTCGTCGCCGTCGTCGCCGTCGCCACCGCCGCCGTCGTCGCTGTCTTCGTCGTTGTCGAAGGCGGAGAGCGGTAGAGAGGCGGAGCGAGGAGGGAGGGCCGTCGGAGCGTTCGAACTGCTTCGGGGTGGCGCCGGAGGCGTGTCGTACTCGCAGGTGCAGCCGAGGGGCTCACACCCAGGCATGCACGCATGAACTGCACTGTTCGTGTTTGCTCAACGGAAGTGCTGTAAAGTGGCCGGCCGGGTCAACGACACCATGCGCTCGCTGCCACACAAGGGGGCTCTCATCGCAACGGAAGTGCCATATAGTGGCCGCAACGGATAAGGTTGCACAATGCCGCAAGTCCAAGGTGACGAGTCCGTCGGGGTGAACTCACGAATCCAAGGTATCAGTCAAGGCTGTCGAACAGCCAAGAGCCGTGAAAACATGATGGACCCACGAACCCGAAGAGGAATCCGCCGACCCCAGAGGCGTGTGCGATATCAATCTGACCTGGATACGATTCCTTATTACACATCACAGAGCTGGATACGATGTCTGTTCACACATCACAATCTCTCTCAAACGCCCTTCCCACCCGCCTGGCATTCCCAGCCCGGGAGAACTCTTTCTCTTGGGACCCCCCACTCGACAATTCCTGTCCCAGAAACGACCAACGCCCCCCACCTTGACCCCCTCCTCTCCTGTCATTCCCAACCTTGGACAACTCTATTCTTATTACACCACCCTCGACAATTCCTGCCAAAGAACCCATCAAACCCCCCCACCTAGACCCACTCCTTGTCTGTCATTCCCACTCCGGGAGAACCTGTTCTTGGGACCCCCCACTCGACAACTCCTGGCCCAGACCTACCAACGCCCCCCAACTGGACCCACTCCATGCCTGGCATTCCCACCCTGGGACAACTCTTCTTGGGCCCCCCCACTCGACACTTCCTGGCCCAGAACCTACCAACGCCCCCCACCTGGACCCCCTCCTGGCTTGGCATTCCCACCCCGGGAGAATTTGTTTCTTGGGACCCCCACTCGACAATTCCTGCCCCAGAACCTACCAACGCCCCCCACCTGGACCTCCTCCTGGCCTGGCATCCCCACCCCGGGAGAACTCTGTTCTTGAGACCCCCCATTCGACAATCCTGCCCCAAAACCTACCCACGCTCCCCACCTGGATCCCCTCCTCGCCTGGCATTCCCACCCCGGGAGAACTCTGTTTTGGGGACCCCCCACTCGACAATTCCTCGCATTCCCACCCTGGCCTCGACCCTAAACCTACCAACGCCCCCCACCTGGACCCCCTCCTGGCCTGGCATTCCCACCCTGGGAGAACTTCGTTCTTGGGACCCCCCACTCGACAATTCCTGCCCCCAGAACCTACCACGCCCCCCACCTGGACCCCCCTTCCCACCCCGGGAGGAACTCTGCTCTTGGGACCCCCCACTCGACAATTCCTGGCCCAGACTTCCCACTCCGGGAGAACCTGTGCTTGGGACCCCCCACTCGACAATTCCTGGCCCAGACCTACCAACGCCCCCCAACTGGACCCACTCCATGCCTGGCATTCCCACCCTGGGACAACTCTTCTTGGGCCCCCCCACTCGACACTTCCTGGCCCAGAACCTACCAACGCCCCCCACCTGGACCCCCTCCTGGCTTGGCATTCCCACCCCGGGAGAACTTTTTTCTTGGGACCCCACTCGACAAGTCCTGGCCCAGAACTTACCAACGCCCCCCACCTGGACCTCCTCCTGGCCTGGCATCCCCACCCGGGAGAACTCTGTTCTTGGGACCCCCCACTCGACAATTCCTGCCCCAGAACCTACCCACGCCCCCCACCTGGACCCCCTCCTCGCCTGGCATTCCCACCCCGGGAGAACTCTGTTTTTGGGACCCCCCACTCGACATTTCCTGCCCCAGAACCTACCAACGCCCCCACCTGGACCCCCTCCTGGCCTGGCATTCCCACCCTGGAGAACTCGGTTTTGTGGACCCCCCCTCTCGACAATTCCTGGCCCAGAACCAACCAACGCCCCCCACCTGGACCTCCTCCTGGCCTGGCATTCCCACCCCGGGAGAACTACATCCTTGGGACCCCCCACTCGACAATTCCTGCCCCAGAACCTACCACCGCCCCCCACCTGGACCCCCTCCTGGCCTAGCATTCCCACCCCGGGAGAACTCTGCTCTTGGGACCCCCCACTCCACAATTCCTGGCCCAGACTTCCCACTCCGGGAAAACCTGTTCTTGCGACCCCCCACTCGACAATTCCTGGCCCAGACCTACCAACGCCCCCCAACTGGTAACTGGACCCACTCCATGCCTGGCATTCCCACCCTGGGACAACTCTTCTTGGGCCCCCCCACTCGACACTTGCTGGCCCAGAACCTACCAACGCCCCCACCTGGACCCCCTCCTGGCTTGGCATTCCCACCCTGGGAGAACTTTTTTCTTGGGACCTCCACTCGACAAGTCCTGGTCCGGAACTTTCCAACGCCCCCCACCTGGACCTCCTCCTGGCCTGGCATCCCCACCCCGGGAGAACTCTGTTCTTGGGACCCCCCACTCGCCAATTCCTGCCCCGGAACCTACCCACGCCCCCCACCTGGACCCCCTCCTCGCCTGGCATTCCCACCCCGGGAGAACTCTGTTTTTGGGACCCCCCACTCGGCATTCCTGCCCCAGAACCCACCAACGCCCCCCACCTGGACCCCCTCCTGGCCTGGCATTCCCATCCTGGGAGAAGTTCGTTCTTGGGACCCCCCACTCGACAATTCCTGCCCCAAACCTACCAAAGCCCCCCACCTGGACCTCCTCCTGGCCTGGCACTCCCACCCCGGGAGAACTACATCCTTGGGACGCCCCACTCGACAATTCCTGCCCCAGAATCTACCACCGCCCCCCACCTGGACCTCCTCCTGGCCTGGCATTCCCACCCCGTGAGAACTCTGCTCTTGGGACCCCCCACTCGACAATTCCCGGCCCAGACTTCCCACTCCGGGAGAACCTGTTCTTGGGACCCCCACTCGACAATTCCTGGCCCAGACCTACCAACGCCCCCCAACTGGACCCACTCCATGCCTGGCATTCCCACCCTGGGACAACTCTTCTTGTGCTCCCCCACTCAACACTTCCTGGCCCAGAACCTACCAACGCCCCCCACCTGGACCCCACACCCCGGGGAGAACTTTTTTTCTTGGGACCGCCACGTCGACAATCCTGAGCCCTCCCACTTACCAACCGACCCCCACCTGGGACCTCCTCATGTCATGGGGCATTCCCCACCCCGGGAGAACTCGGTTCCTTGGGGACCCCTCCCACTCTCGACAATTCCTGCCCGAGAACCGACACCGCCCCCCACCTGGACCCCCCTCCTCGCCTGGCATTCCCACCCCGGGAGAACTCTGTGTTGGGGACCCCCCACTCGACATTTCCTGCCCCAGAACCGACCAACGCCCCCCACCTGGACCCCCTCCTGGCCTGGCATTCCCACCCTGGGAGAACTTCGTTCTTGGGACCCCCACTCGACGATCCCTGCCCCAGAACCTACCAACGACCCCCACCTGGAACCTGGACCCCCTCCTGGCCTGGCATTCCCACCCTGGGAGAACTTCGTTCTTGGGACCCCCCCACTCGACAATTCCTGCCATAGAAGAAAAAACCTTCCAACGGCCTCCACCTTGGACCTCCTCCTGGCCGGCATTCCCACCCAGGGAAACTACATACTTGGGGACCCCCCACTCGACAATTCCTGCCCCAGAACCTACCACCGCCCCCCACCTGGACCCCCTCCTGGCCTAGCATTCCCACCCCGGGAGAACTCTGCTCTTGAGACCCCCCACTCGACAATTCCTGGCCCAGACTTCCCACTCCGGGAGAACCTGTTCTTGGGACCCCCCACTCGACAATTCCTGGCCCAGACCTACCAACGCCCTCCAACTGGACCCACTCCATGCCTGGCATTCCCACCCTGGGACAACTCTTCTTGGGCCCCCCCACTCGACACTTCCTGGCCCAGAACCTACCAACGCCCCCCACCTGGACCCCCTCCTGGCTTGGCACTCCCATCCCGGGAGAACTTTTTTCTTGGGACCCCCACTCGACAAGTCCTGGCCCAGAACTACCAACGCCCCCCACCTGGACCTCCTCCTGGCCTGGCATCCCCACCCCGAGAGAACTCTGTTCTTGGGACCCCCTACTCGACAACTCCTGCCCCAGAACCTACCCACGCCCCCCCCCTGGACCCCCATCCTGGTCTGGCATTCCCACCCCAGGAGAACTCTGTTCTTGACCCCCCCTCGACAATTCCTGCCCCAGACCCTACCAACGCCCCCCACCTGGACCCCCTCCTGGCCTGGCATTCCCACCCTGGGAGAACTCTGTTCTTGGGACCCCCCACTCGACAATTCCTGCCCAGAATCTACCCACGCCCCCCACCTGGACCCCCTCCTGGACTGGCATTCCCACCCTTGGAGAACTCTGTTCTTGGGACCCTCCACTCGACAATTCCTGCCCCAGAATCTACCAACACCCCTCACCTGGACCCCCTCCTTGCCTGAATTCCCACCTCGGGAGAACTCTGTTCTTGGGACCCCCCACTCGACAATTCCTGGTCCAGACCCTACTAACGCCCCCCACCTGGACCCGTTCCTGGCCTGGCATTCCCACTCCTAGAGAACTCTGTTCTTGAGACCCCCACTCGACAATTCCTAGCCCAGAACCTGCCAACGCCCCCCACCTGGACCCCCTCCTGGCCTGGCATTCCCACTCCGGGAGAACTCTGTTCTTGGGGCCCCCCTACTCGACAATTCCTG